GATCATAGAAAAATATTTAAAATTAGTTTCGAGCAAAATCATCATAAAAATAACATTTTTTTTTCCTTACCGGATTCTGACAGAGCAGCAAGGAATTGCCAGGCTTGTTTATATGGGTAGTCATAAAGTTTTATCAAGTATCTTTCTTGATGCTTTTATCATTTCACAAAAACTGACTATTTGAGGATCAGTGATTCGTGTTAAAAAATGACAGATGGTTAGAGGAAACACATCCATTTTTCTCATCACTCGAACTTACGATCCATCTATTTTTATAAGGGGGGAATAATTTGTAATGGAACCTTAAATTTATTTGTAGATAGGTAATAGTTCTTTTCTTTGAGATGGTAAATACCTTCATGATACCTTTGTACAGCATTTTTTTTTGTTTTTGTTTTACAGCTTCTGAAAGTCCTTATCATTTTGCAAGTTTAGTGTTATTGTCCATAGCTACTTCACTGGCTATTTATAAGATCTTAGAATACGAGTTCCAAAAATAATTAAACTGAGAATTATGAAATTCTCTTTAAATTGTAATTAATCATTTTAATATGCTGACTTTAAGTAAAAATGAATAGAGAGTATGGCTTTGAGTTCAAGTTTTCATATTAAAAATATGATCTGCAGTTGCAAATTAAATTCGAATTAAATGACTTTAACAGGAACTTTGTGCTTCCATATCAACAAAAAAAAAGGTGAGTGGCTATCCTTAAAATTGCTAGAATTCTTCTTCTTCTAGGTGCCTTGTCGGCTTCGAACGTTGGCTAAAATGATTGCTATTTTGAAAAATAGCAACAGCCTCTCGAAAAAGTGATCTTGTACTTTTAATGAACTATTGACGTAAATTCTTCACCCATTATATTTTCGTTTCCCAGGGTCACGTCTGCCTTCAATTCTGCTTTGAATGATTAATTTCAGTAGTCCGTACTTTTCCGGATGCCTCAGAGTACGACCAAAAAACTCCAACTTATGGTGTTTTACTGTCTCTAATATTTCTGTCTCTTTGTTGATACGCCGAAGTACCACTGTATTTGTAATTTGTTTAAATTTTAAATAGCCAAAAGTGAGATTAAATTATAACACTCTAGTTATTTTGCCAGAGTAGCTAGATTACCCTGAAATTAACAACTGTTTTGTATTTGATTTGATTCGATATATGCATTTTTGAATATTATAAATGCCTGCAAACATGATTAAAAAAATGTTAGATTACTCAAAATATGTTCGATCGGAAACCAAATTTGACAGATCGAGAGTAAACCTAAATTGAATCCAGATTTTCCAATCGAAAACGCTATTGTATTAAAAAATTATCAAACAATAATTAAACAGCTTACTGAGGACGTTTACATTTAGTGTATTGTATTTGGAAAACATTAAATGAAGATTTATTCATGCGTAAGCTTTCCTATCATTGGATGCCGAACTTTCAACAAAAATACAATCACTAAGCAATTAGAATATGTTTATAGATTGTCTGAGCTTTGAACAAAAAGAAAATAATGTAATTAGTAGGAATACTCTGGCTAGATGTTTCTGGAATTTTAAAAACATATTATTAATTAACTATATCAAAAAAAGAAGCATAGCTTTTTCTAAAGTATACTATGCAATATTTCTAGTTAAATTGAAAATGGAAATTACCAAGTAGTGTCCTTATATTTCCAATAAAAATATTTCCCTACCCCAAGAAAATCTACCGGAGTTAAATTTCTACTATTATTATGGCTAAGATTCTCGAGTTGCATTTCTCACTGATTGACGAAGAGAGATACTGTTATTTGCCAGATCTATGTGCCAGCGTTTAATTTCGGTTGGCAAAATTGATAGGATAAAAGCCAAAGGTCAAAGGATAAAAGCTCTGACGAAATTCAATATTGATAGTCAATATTTATAACTATTTTGAAGATCTAAATGCAATGCTCAATTTAGAGGGTTTAAAGAAGTTAGAGATTATGCCAAAAAATAAAAATTAAAATTAAATATGTTTCTTTTTAATTAGATGCAAAGCTTTCAAAATTTTAGGGATAATGGAACTTCTTGAATCTCTTGGTATTGAAATCAAAAACTTTTTGCGTTTGAATTGAAACAAAAGACAAATAATTTTATAATAATATATATAAGGATAAAGTTTTCTCTCAACTTAACCTTATTACACTAATATCACCGTTCGGATAGTTATAATTTTTAATGAAAACTTTCATATTTAAGTTATTGCTTGTTTGTCTTGTATCCACTTAGCTCTTCAGGTCTTCTTTCTCATATGTTTTAGAGATGTATTGCTTCAAAAGAATTCCGTTGTCCCATTTTTATGTCGACGACAGTACCAATAAAATACTTTCTTTAACTTGAAATTTATAACACTTATCAGTAGTTCTGCTTACAAAAACAAAGTTTTAATACAACGATAAAATTTTAAGTTCCTTCAATTTATTGCTAATTCAATTGCTTAGTCCTTTTGCGTTGGTTTACTTCAAGAACAACGTATTGGAGTTAAACATTTTTGGATTCTTGGCTTTGCCTTAATTTAATGTTGTTAAATAAAATTGAGTAAGGCAGAGATATTATTTCTTTCATATCTATTTTGCAAATAAAATAAAAAACAACAAGAATTCAAATACCTCAGTAATCTCAGCTACGTGCCTTTGTGTCCGAAGTGCTGTACATGTGGAAATCCAATCGCACGACACGACATACAGGTTAGATTGCTGGAATTACCTCAACTAACAAAATAAATTGTGATCTATGAGATTGAAAACAAAAAAAGGAGAACAAATACCAACACTTGTGCGGAAGTTGCTAGACCTGACCTTCAATGCAATCTGCCAAGCAGCTATCATGAATATGTTAGGATATGTCAGGATATGTGTGTAATCTGGCGCTGTGCTAAGGCACACAGGGGATGCAAAGAAATGCGAAGTGGCAATGAGAAGTGTATAAAAACTCGTAAGTCGCAAATATGTAACCAACGCATAGGGAACGGAAGTAGGAAATGCCATTACTCAACTTGAAAATGTGTGCAATTCCACTTAAGTGGATGGCATCCTTGAGTCAAGTACGATAAAGGATAATAAATAAAAAGTATACGTACAAACAACTTGTGACAAGGCATGCGGGCGTATAAAAACACAAAGGGAGTTGGTAATTGTATCTGGAATGAGGAGCAACTGAATTAAAAATAAAAAACAAAATGCAATTCTAGAATGAAAAAAATACAGAGACGTCACAAAAACCATAACCAATTTATCCTGCAATTAAACTCTATAGCAGTGGCATTGTAATATCTTTGCTAGTTTCAGATATAAAAATTAAAAATATTTTTAAATTTCATTTTTAAAACTAATTATGGCGAAAGAAACTATTTCCTTAATTTAAATAATTTTTTAATAGAATAATTTCGAACAGAAGTCAAAACCTGTCTATAAATTAAATGCCATTATAAAACAGTTTCGAAAAGAAATCTTGAAATTTGCTATATCTAAACCAGGACTGTTGTGTTGACCAGTTGCGGTTAGACTCGTAGTGGCGGGAAGAATGATCAGGTATCTGTTTATCATTCATTCGGCGTGGAGCTGCGTATTCAGCACAAGGTGCTCTGACCAAAAGATCAGTAGAGGCTAGAGGTAGGCCTCGCATCAAACCAAGGTAGAAGTCATGTCTTGCACACATTTTTTCATTGGCACCGGCGGAAATTTCTTTTGAAATTCCAATGGGGCCCTTAACGGCGCAATATACCGATACATGTGTTAATGAGCACCGTGGTGCTAAGCCGTCATGGCAGGAAATTACGTTAAATCATTCTGGATTTCTGTATCCATTGTTGTGATGTATTATATCTGACATGATTGTTCATTACCATTCAGTTGAATTTCAATCATATTAGTTTTTATTTAGGTTATATCATGGTTTAACATAAATATGTAAACATCAAATTATACAATCAATAGGATCCTATTGAATGACCAGAATATATTGTTATAATTTAAAACCAGACACAACTCTATTTCGTTTTGTAGCATTTGTAAAAAAAGTCAGAACGCGTTATGGTTATTAAAAAATACCACAACGCATTCTAGATGATATCGGCTGTAATCATAATAACATACAACATATACTTAAAATGACATAAAAATGGTTAAAAAAATTGAAGTACAGATAATATAAATAATTCAATTCAATATACAAAAGCTCATCACATTTTCTGTTGGGCGAAAGATGTAGAAATTTGCCCAATAAAAACTTTTTTTGTACCACTGTGCGTCGTTTGCAATTGTTCAAGTTTTCGCATAATACGACAAAATTGTCCTGTTTACTCAGAAAATCATCCTTCAGAAAATTTATTCCTCCATTGAAGTTTAAGTCTTATTAAGTTTTTGGTGTATGTAATGGAAATTTTTCACGTGAACAACGAAAGCATTGAGTCTAATATATATTCAAAAGTGCATGTATTTTGAAAAAGTACATAAGAATTCATTGTTAGTAGAGAATACATTATCCTCTCTACTAACGTATATCTTCCAAGATTACCTTAATACATACTTGTTTTGAAAATATGGTATATGATATCATAGATGTTTAATCTTAATATCTTTCGCTGCATCAAATTTTTGAGCAAAGTTCTAGCAATGAAGCTAAATTCAGCTACTTGGGTTGTTGTTATTTCTTTAAAAGAAGAAACATTTTCACATAGTTTTTTCATGAACTGATTAAACATTCCAAAACTTAAAGCTATAACTCTACGAACAACTCATAGTCACCTCTTCACTCTTCATTGTTTCATATAAGATATACAACAGATGGTACAAAGTAGATACATGCTTTAAGTGTTTGTATATATGGTTTATTCTTTAATAAAAGTTTACTCCACTTAGATTCAAACGTATCTGTTTTCTTATTTAAGAAAACTTTTATACAAATTATGTGAAGTTCATTTTGACATTAAAAGTTTTATTCCAAATGTAAAGGAATATTACATATTAATATTTTTCTGTTTATTTAAGATGGCTGGTGGCGGTGATCCCAAATGGCAAAAGGATGCAGCTGATCAGAACTTTGATTATATGTTCAAACTGCTCATAATCGGTAACTCTAGTGTTGGCAAGACAAGTTTTTTGTTCCGGTACGCGGACGACAGTTTTACCTCAGCCTTCGTGTCCACAGTTGGCATAGACTTTAAAGTGAGAACAGTATTCAGACATGATAAACGCGTTAAACTGCAAATATGGGTAAGTGTATTAAATTATTAAGTTTTCCATATAAAATTTTTATTTTTATAAATTAATAATTTATAAATGTAAGTCTGTCTGTAAAATAAATAATATAAGCTAGGTTAGGATGAAAAGATGAGTGTTGAAGCGAATATTAGCACATATATTCAAAACCAACTATTGTTCATTATGAAGCCCTAAAGTAGTCAGGAGGAGGAACGGTACTTTATAAATGATATTATTTTCAATACAGCTCTTTGCGTTATCCTTGTTAAATAAATTACTTGTCAGATGTAGTTAAGCAGACTTAATAAGTGCATTTTCGTTAGCTCCGTCAGTCAAGTGCAAAAAAATTCTCCCAAACATTGCAGGTGCTTCATCTGCAGAGATATAAAAAGTGATTGATAGATTCTATATAGTCTTCATTATGAAAACTTCAAAATAGTCCGCTTGTCAGAGTATGTCATCGTTAAATAATTGATGCAATAAATCATAGCCAATACCCCATTCAACGCAAAAATGGCACAATTAATCGTTCACGAAATAAGGACGATCATTTTTAAAAGATATAAACTCTATTATATATAAATAATATAAATATATGAAGTTTAAAAAATAACATTTATGATCAATTAGTGAGAAGTAGGAGTGCAATAAAAATATATCTGAAAAAGAAATACATACTTGTACGAATTACTTTAAAGCACATTAAAGCACATAAATTAAATAAAACTTATAGCACTTTAAGTACTTATATGATGATGATCAACAATATAAAAATATTTAAAGAATAAGTTTCTTATTTTAGTTCAGTTGAGAAAATTCAGATTTGAACATTTTCATTCTCAAGATATGTAGCTTGAGTTTAATTAGAGTGCAAATGCTATAAATGCATTAAGGTTAGGTTCAAAGTTAATTTAAACAAAAGTAATAGTCCATTGTGATACCATGGGTAGGTCACTTTGTGAATGCCAAACTTGAAGAACCACCTTATAAGTAGAAGTCCAAAACATCTACTCATGAACAATGTCTCTTTAAAAAGATACGGTTCTCTTCATTCAAGTCCTGTTAAGTTTACAACCTTGACTTTATCCTTTAATTTAAAGGACCACATGTTAATTAGTACAACAGCTTTAATGACTGTGGTTATTAATATTTTGATAGAGCAAATTACCATACAAAATATAGAATTAAGAAGATTAATTTCAGATAATGTCTAAGATTAGACAACGTATGGTGTTCTTTTTTAAAGTTAAAATTTTATTTTTTTAATCATTAATCATACTTCTACTATGTTGACTTATTGAGTTTAAAAATATATTGTATTGGTTGGATTAAATACCTCACATAGATCCGTGGGTGATTAGCAACAGTTAGAGACGAATTTAGGAGAGTAACAATCCTATTAAGCGAATAATTTGCATCAACCAAGTGAGTCAGTTTACTGATTGCGTTATCGTGATTAGTGACTCCTTCATATTCTGCATCTATATAAAGGAATTGTGATAATTTTTTGTCTAGCTTTGTCCCCCAATTCGTGTTATTGCATCATATAAAAATGCTTCATACAAGTTCTTCTCACTACCGAGCATTCAGATAATACAATTTCTAAAGATAGTACAATATTCCATATTACAGTCGTGCAGCAATTGTTGTTGTACGAGTAACATTCAGTTTTGCTATCTTAAAAGAATGTTTCTGATGCAAAGTGTTTCCACTGTGTTTCATACTTTGTGACTTTATAAACTATCTCTTCACGTGACAAGTTTAAGAACCTGGCTAAGTCCTTAATTTTAGCAGGATGACAGCTTTGTCCGCTAGGGTAAAAAATCGGCCCGATTATTTTAAATCTCTTAACCAATGGTGGATACTGATACTGGTAGTGAAGTACAATATACTTGTCATCCACAAAGCCACAACCATGATCAAAGTCGTTATAAGGTAGACGCAGTCTTATAACATGTCTTCCTGGTATGCAGTGACTCGCCAGCATGAATACCGTAGTGCTGAGCAGGTAACGCCTTAGCTGAAGCAGCTGATTGGTACATTTATTTTCCAGTTTGAACTAGGTTGTATTTCGAATCTGACGTGTTCATCTAGTTAATTTTGTTTAGCTTTATGTATTCAAATATTTTTCTTCGATAGCCAGCTTGACAGTTACAAATGGGATACCAATATCTGATAAAATGAATTTAATTTTTGAGTTAAAGTTAAATTCTCTGAAACAAATACTTTTGAATAGTGCAATTGTGTTTCCGATATGCGATAAATTGATATCTTTGGGACATTGAATTGCAATTGTGTAAATTACATTGAAATTTTTAACTGATTTTTGAGGTTTTATTCTCATAATTTATGTCCTCGCTCATAAACCGTTTATACCATTTTAGACCCTGGTAGTGCAAGACCAACGCTGAACGTCGGAGATATCAGAATTGCAATGCCTATTTTATTACCGAGTTATAAAAGTAAATAAATAAATACAAATGAAGATAAACAAATTTTCCTCCATTTAGCCTTAATAAATTTTTTGTTTAAATTATATTATAATTTGCATCAGCTGCAATTTTCGCTTCAATTGATACAATTGCCAATTATCTGTATTGTCTTTCTAAACTCATCGTACTTCTCAAGAAGTTCTTAATCAATTTTAACTTTGAGAAGCTTCCTTGAGGATGAGTTTCTTTTAAATGTAGCATTTCCCCATATAGTTAAAACGGCTGAATGTTGCTGTTTTTACCTTCCCGAGGTATTATACCTAACACTTTATAATGCTTGAACAGGTCTTCCAAATTGTTCAAAATATCTATTAAGTTAATTTTGAATCGACAGTCGGTATTAATTATAATAGCTTTTATCATTGTGGTAAAAAAGTTTACGGTTTACCGCATATCAACGGATTGTATAGGTTATAATATGGTCATAACTGATTAATTGTTCCTTCTTTGCTATTATTTTTTCTTTAAATTTAAAAAAGGCTAAGTTCTTCAGGAAAAAATACGGAAAACTCCATTTAGATGAATTTAAGTGACAGAGGGAAGATTTGTCGAAGCCAATCTGTCACTTTTAGCAGAAAAAAAAGGTTTTCAAAATAAAAGATTACCAAATTAACCGAATGTCAATCAAATGACAGTCATCAAATCCTAACTGTTACTAACTGCATTAACCCACAATTCAGAATTGAATATTTCGTTTGAATAACAAAACTAAATTTGGTTCTTAACAACTTTTCTTTACAAATAATGGAGTTTTATTTGTATAGAGTCAACGCCTGTTTCAAATATCATAGCAAACGATAGTCTTTTTATAAGTTTACTTCAGTCGATTGCCATAGTTTATTTGTATTTTTCACTCGTAGTAAAAGTTTATACCACAGATGTATTGCTACAATAAACTCAAAAGTCAGCATTTCATACAGGACTGCTTCATAATCGCTTAGAGGTTCTGAATCATCAGTTTTATTTCTCTAATCATTCACTCATCAATAATATCATCCAATTACAAATATATCGTATTTACTGCTTCGGTTCTACTCTCCGATCTTGTTTCAGAGAGAGATTTTAAGGTCGACTTGACTTTGCTCGACATAGAAAAAATCTAATAGATTTTATTGATAAACCCAAGAAACGTTATTGTTGTGCTTTAGATTTGCTTAATAAATAAGAAAATTAGGCCTCTCAAGTGGAGCTACAGTAAATCTTACTCTCTGTGTGAATATATCCTCTTGCATTTTGGAATTTGTTTGTCAAAAACAAACCATGATTTCCACATTTAAGACACTTGTGACTAAAACTAAATATCTACATTGTTAAAAGGTCCTCTAGTTCACTTTATAAGAGAGAACTACAATTATTTTTCTCTGATAAGTGGAGTATAGGTTTTAAGAAATATGAACAACTTTTTGCGAAGCCCCTGTAGTCGCGAGGCCGCTACTGAGTTTAGATACGGTTTAGCAGTTAAAATGAGTCAGTATAGCTTAATCGGGTTCAAAACATGGCCATGTGTTATATAGTACATACCGATAAAGTACAAACATAGTCTCACTTCAAACCTTATATAAAATAGTTAAGAGTTAAATATTAATGGTTTCTTCCTAAATAACCTGTAATGATGGTTTCTTTCTTTTTTTATGTAAAGAACTCAGTGCTTCCTTTTACTAAATTCCAAAATTTGATAATAAATCAATACTGAGAATCGTGCCATTATCAACATTTAATGTCAAATTTTCTATATGCGAAGAAATTATTTATTAAAAAATTAATAAAAATGTTTATAATAACGCACTTAAGTATTAAAATTACGGTTATATATATGATTATAACCCTGCAGGACCATTACATATATATATATATATATATCTAGTTACAAAAAATTGCGCAACATATTTAAAGAAATAAATTGAGTAGGATGTGGGATGTGCACGTAACCATGGCACATATTGTTTAGATACTTTCTGAATGTAACGAGAAGATTCTTGGCGTCATTTAATTAACGCATAAAAATTGCTACAAACTGCGCTGATATCATTTAATGACTTGAATAACATGACAGGCACGAATGAGTTTATCACTCATTTAGCTTTCACTAAATGTGGGTTTTTCAGTGCAAGCGGCATTTTATGAGCTCATAAAGAGTTGTGGCTTTCATAGAGTTTAATTTGTATCTGCAATGAATGATGGCACTAAGCGTTGTCGAGACGTGGATATTGTAACAAATTTCAAAAAGGACATCAAATTATATCGAATTTCAACATTTCATGCATAAAAATTTTATGGTGTGTTATGTACTTAATTCAGTTGAATTGAAACGAGTTGTAAAATAGTTTTTGTAAAATATACAATCCACAATAATTCAAAGGAATTTAATTAATTGAATAACTAATTTAACAATCAGTATAAAAATTCACAAAACTCCTTTGACACCTTTATTCTAGACTGAAGACATAAGATATTAATCTGATTTTGCTAATTTATTATAATTATAAATTAATTACAGTAATGTATTATTAATTAATTATATAATTATATATTCATGTTAAATAAATATAAAGATATCACAATAAAATAAATATAGAAATATTCTTCAAAATTCCAATATTATTGGTCACAAAAGTTATGAACAAAATATTAGCAAGTTAGCAAGTTATATTTATGTTAAATAAATATATAATTAGGTATAGTAATTATTTTTTTTGATGTAATAATTTTTTTTAAAGTAACATTATTTTGTATATTTTTACTTCTTATTATTATTTTTATTGTTGACATGTTCAGAAATAATATTTATGAACTTTGTCCAATTACAAGAGATTTCCAATTACTACAATCGCGAGCTATTGCTCTTAGATCACTAAATGATTTGCTCGTTTCTTTACTGATGGTTCTTCTCCATGTTGCCCTCGGTCGAACTTGATTTCTTCTTCCCTGCGGACTCCACTCGAGTGTAGCGCCCCAACCATCCGTATTTCCTCTGAACTATTTCTTTATTGGTTAGTTCGTTTCATGAGGCGTTCATTGCTAATAGTTGTTACCAGGCATCTATTTATAGACATCTATTTACAAACGTTTGCAACTTATGAGTGATAGCTGTAGTCACATACCAAGTCTCAGATCCACTCATTGAAATGGAAAATTTTGATTTTCGTTTTAAGATGGATACTAGATGGTTACCAAACATATTTAAAATTGGCGAAACCAAGCTTAGCTTGGCTTTACGAAGCTGTGTAGAAACATGAATTAAAGTTCTACCATCCGTAGTGACCATACTACCAAGGTATTCAAATTGAGTATCATCTTCAATGTTTATACCCTTTATATCAAATTGAGTGTTATTATTAGATTTTTTTTTTGCGGAAAGGAGGAGTGGAATGTCTACGCACTGACCACAGTCCGGCGCCCCGGAAAGTGAGTGCCCAACTCACAGGGACTAATCAATTCCCTCTCATTCATTTTTAGGCCCACTTTGTCACAATTCTGCTGCAGCGACTTTATTTGCTCTAGTATACCTGAATAACGGTTTGATATGAATACCAAGTCGTCGGCGTATTTAAGATCACCCAGCTTATTGCTCAGCCCCCAGTCAATTCCATGTTGTTGCATGTTACTTCTTATTTTATTTAATAAGCTTTATATATATTCAGCTCTCATCTGTGTTTGTTAAAGCAATTATTAAGCGATTTTCTTAATATGTAATAATAATTTTATTTTGATTTATTTTATTCCGTTTTTCATATTTTTTTTTTACCAACACTAATATCTCCTATGTATGGCTCCATAAAATCAAAAATATAAATAAGAGTTACCTACATAATTCATTAAGAAAAAAATTAAGTTAATTTAAATTTTATTAAAATCATATAATTGAATAATTAAATTATTGCTTTCAGGATACTGCAGGACAGGAACGCTATAGAACAATAACAACAGCATACTATCGTGGGGCAATGGGTTTCATTCTAATGTATGACGTTACAAACGAGGAAAGTTTTAATTCTGTGCAGGACTGGTATGTATATTTTCTTTAATGTTTATTTTAACTTAATTATGACAAGAATATTTAAATTGATGTAACTCAAATAGGGTAACTCAAATAAAAACATACTCCTGGGATAATGCACAAGTTATACTTGTTGGCAACAAGTGTGATATGGAGGATCAGCGGGTTATTTCATATGAAAGAGGCCGTCAGTTAGCTGATCAATTAGGTGTTGAATTTTTTGAAACTTCAGCTAAGGAAAATGTCAATGTCAAGGTAAGTGCAAATAAATTCAAATTAAAAATAACAAAATTAAAAAATTATTTTTCTTAACACACATATAGGCTGTATTCGAGCGTCTTGTTGATATCATATGCGATAAAATGTCGGAGAGTTTAGACTCAGATCCAACGTTAGTTGGTGCCGGACAGAAAGGACAACGACTGACAGATCAACCACAAGGCACACCTAATGCAAATTGCAATTGTTAAATTTATATACATATATATATGTATTTATATATATATATATAATTAGTGGTTATATATACATATTAGAAAAAGCTGAAAACATAATTAATTAATTAATGGCAAAAAAAAAAAAATAATTCATGCATAAATAACTATATTTAATACGGTATTTATTGATAAAAAATATTTTAAAAATTGAAAAGACATAAAACAAAAGATACTGGAACTGTAACTTTAGTATATAAAATTATAAATAATATAAATAAAATGTTTGAAATTAAAATCTAGATAAAAAATTTGAATGTAATGGCCTAAACATTATTATTATTCATATAATGTATTTGTGTATGAAAGAAAGATAACTACGAACGAAAAAATTGTTAAAAATTTATTAAAAAATTATAACGAGTATAATTTTATAATTATTCAAGTATATATCTTTGTATGTTTAAATTTTGTTAAGTGTAATTTAATTATTGTGAAAAATATTTAAAAAAAGAGAAACACTAATTATAACATAACACTTTTGTACTATTTGAACGTAATTCTGTAAAAATATTTTCTGATGGAAAATCAATATGGATCATACTACATATATAAATTACAGTCCTTATGCGGTTAAGACTTTGAATCAAGGTACTTATATATTGTGTAAAGAGAAACGATATTGTGGTTGTTTCTAACTAAGTAGGAATAAATGCGTTACAACTGTTAGTGCTAAGTGGGCTCAGCATAAAGATTGGTCCGGAAATTTTGTTTTAAAAACTGAGTTATAGATGTCGCTTTGCACCATTTAAGAGACTTGAAATGAGTGCACACAAAACCACTTGAATTATAACGTTATATTACTCATGATTCAAAGTAACTGATAATACAGTTTTACTAGTACATATTCCCAAAGTACCGTGGCTTGAAATTATTATCTTGACCCGATTTTTATGCTTATATGTAATATATATTGTAATGTTTAGTTCTCTGAATTATTGGCTAATTCTTAATAACTAATATTAATTTGCAGTAAAATATTGTTTCATTTAATATGTTATTGATTGTATTTTATATGTAAATTGTTTTAATTGCTTTTGGTGTAAACATAGCACAATAAATATTTTAAAGAAATTATTTGTTAAATGAATGCGAAATGCATTTAAATAATAAATACATATTAAAATTATAAAATAATTTGTATATCAACATAAAATTATATTAGCAAAAATTGTAGTAAGCAAATATTTGAATGTTGCATAAAATGGTAAAAATAAAAAATAAAGATTGTTTTAAAATAAACAATATGCATATATAAAAATGTTTCAAAATATATATTATTTATTACTTTTTGATTACATGCATTCGAGGGTAGTAATGGAAATATATAATAGCATATATAAGTTTTTACATGAACTAGTAAGAGTAAAAGTAGTAGTAGACAATAAACCAGAGATAAAATTACTTAAAATCAAATCCGAAGAAGTATGATAAGGAATTTTTATTCTTAATCCAAAATAATTTCTAATATAGAGAAGGTCTGAACGCGACTATAGTAAAAACTTGAGAAACATTTCTAAGAAGGCACTTTTGAAATGTAAAAATTGAAATAAGCTCATAAAGCTATTAAAAAAGTTGTCCTAATGATTACTTAACAAGAATACATTGTATAATCTATAGAAGAGCACTGGCATTACTGTTTGTAATTCCATAAAATAGGAAGTTTTTCTGAACACAAGTTGGAGTTTCAATAAAATCGGTAGCTGGAAATCTATTATTATACTATGTTCAGATACACCTTAATTTCGCAAAAATCTTAATTTCATCTTCGTTTCAGCGAAATTAAGTTGTTTTTTCCATATAAAATTTAGTTTTAAGGTTAGAATGAAATTACGGAAAGAGCCTTAATGTCGTTGAAACGAAGCCTGAAGTTAAGGGACAGCTCAAATGTGACTATGCTAATAAAACTACTGAATACCATCATTTTTAATTATAATAATCAACTTGTAAAATTTTCCAGTTACAAATAATGTTTGGGACATGTAATTTGATTTCCTTATAACATTTCATTTTAACATATGATTTCCTTAATTTGGGGCAGTATGAACACTTTCGAAACTAACTTAATTTAATTTTTCCGAAATTAAGGAAATTTGGCTTTCTGAACATAGTATGAGGTGAAAACAATATTTCATTAATTTTACTTGCATTAATTACATTTTGCATGTATTATATTTATTAACTACATTTCTTAATATATACACTTTTATATTGTTAAATTATATATATTTAATGAAATATTTGAAGTTTTCAAACTTTTAATTCGTTTCTATAATTCTTATATACATAGTTAAAAATTATTCCAATTTTGAAAACTTTATAAATTTTGATTTTTTTTAAATTTTAATATGTTATTATTTTAAAAATAAAACAGAAATTTTAAATTAATTTTCATTAAGGATATTGGGATTAAATTATAATATTTATGTCGTGCTCTTAAGACCAATTTAATTCATGAGAATTACATGAGATATTTTATTGTAAATAGGCTTTTAAGTTTATGCTGAACTAAAGCTATTATTTGTCAATTTCTAAGCTATTAGCAGCATATTTTTTTCTTATCGGCTTTATCTAAAGATAAAATACAAACAATCAAAAATATTAAATAAAATATTAAAATAAATACAGAAATTGTGACGTTTGTCAAAATAATCTTTTTTAATCTGAATACAGATCACAAAAATGAAACATTAAAAATTAGATGAGAATTTTAATAGTGTTTTAATTGTGGTATATAACATATGCTTTATTTGTCTGTTATTTATAATTTATTAATAATCTAATAGTTTTATTTAAAAATTATTGTAATTATTGTTATCTTCTCTAATATGTTTATTATATGCCTATTATTCTTTCATAAGTTACTAGTCATTTTTTATTTAATGTTTTTATCTATTGATTTTTTTTCTTATTTTTTTTTATTTCCTTAATAATTTATTAAAATGAAAATTTGATTAATTATCACTCCTGTCGGAGCATAGGACTCCTATCTCTGTTGAGATAATTTATTGTATTTTTATTATTTATTTATAAGTTATTAATCATTTATTATATATCTATCACTTATTTATAAATTATTATTCATATATTGTTTATTAGTTTTTGTGATCTATTAAGTTTCTTTGTTAAGTTTCTTTCAAACTCGAAGCTTTACATTATAGCAGGTAGTACTTATTACAAATTCAGTATATAAATATAACACAGGCTTAAGCGAGATAGTGTTATTGTCAAGTTCTACTGCGGTGAATATGACAATTAAATAAATTACTTAATTTTAATAATTTTAAATTTATTTAAATATAACTTATAAGGAAAATATATGTGTTAGATACGTATATGACATTGTTCATAGTTTTTCAACTTGTGTTGCCTGATGCTGCCATTAGAAATTATGGCTAAATATTTTAGTTGCATTTATTGCTTTAGAAACATTATATGTAAATAAATTCATTTCTAATAAAAACAAAAATCAACATTTGTTGGTATATTAAATCAGATCATCTATAAATATTCAGAAAAAATATCACAGCAATGTAACAATATGTAACAAAATTACCAAAATTAAAAAACTTATATATAATTATATTAAACTGAAGATCCATAGGTTTACTTAAGTCCACTAATTTCATTATAAAATTATTTTACATTTTTGAAATAATGTATTCAGGCACACACATAAGATCCATAGACCTTAAGCATAGTCTTCATATATGGTAATTGTCTTTAAAGACTCGATTACCCGATATTATTTAGATGTTTCTTCTTACTACTATACTATTCATAAATTTCAAGCTAAACCCACCGGTACATGAGACATATTTGCTATCAAATTAATGTTATAAGTATGTATTTTATTACTATGTATGAATAATTTATTTGTATTTACTTAATTTTATAATTATAATTTGTAACACTAAATCTGATTAAATTTGTTTAAATAAACCATTACTTGAAGTATTTAAAAATTTTATACAAAATTAATATTAATTTAATTTAATAATTATAAATTTATTTTATATTGTTTTATTTCAATATTCTTTAATTTATTTTATTTTATTTTGTTTTATTTTATTATATTTAATTTTATTTTATTTTGTTTTATTTAATTTTATTTAATTTATTTTTATTTTATTTCATTGTATTTTATTTTATTTTATTTTATTTTATTTTATTTTATTTTATTTTATTTTATTTTATTTTATTTTATTTTATTTATTTTATTTTATTTTATTTTATTTTATTTTATTTTATTTTATTTTATTTTATTTTATTTTATTTATTTTATTTAATTTATTTTAATTTTATTTTATTTTTATTTTATTATTATTTTATTTTATTTTTTATTTTAATTTTATTTTATTTTATTTTATTTTATTTTATTTTATTTTATTTTATTTTATTTTATTTTATTTTATTTTATTTTATTTTATTTTATTTTATTTTATTTGATTTGTAACAAATAATATGCACATATTTCATATATAGCAAATAATTTAATTCCAAATCGATTTTAAGATAGAAATCTCTAGGTTCTTTACTTTAATGTATTCATAATGTATTTAAAGTGCTCACATTTTCTGTTTTTTGAGCTGGACATCATACAAACATTGCCGTAAATAGTCAATAAATATCTCCCCTATCTATAATATAAATTACTGTTATAGTTATAGTAGATATATAAAATGTATTTTATAGTTCAAATTATTGACTGCTAATTCGTGCATTATTGCAAATATTTTGCTTTGACTGTTATCACATTAGTGAGTAAATCATAAATTCTCTTCGAAAATTATTTTACTTTCACTGCCTTTTTAAAGTGAAATGAAATAAAATTATGAATATTCAAAATTTATGATATGCTTAATCTATATTTCAGACAAAAAATTATAAATAAAACAAATATATTAAGTAACTATGATAAATATAATATATTTATTATTAACTTTATTAGTCGCATTGTTATTATTCATTAACTTTAATAAAAAGAAAAAATTCATTAGAAAATAAAAAGCGTATATATACATAT